TTATATTATGCCAATCGACCCACACGATCATGGTTCTATGCCTTCAGACTGAGAAAACCAATTGCATGAGGTATTTTGTTAGGTCTAAGAAGTATCCATAACTATATCTCCTATATGTTTTATTATATATATACACACATATATACATACATATATAGGAGCTCTGGTGGCGTAGTGCCTAAGGCATTTGACTACTAACCAGAAGGCTGGCGGTTCAAACCTACCAGCCACTCCTTGGAAGGAAGAATGGCCAATCTACTTCCGTAGAGAAACCACCTCAGAAACCCAAGGAGAGGTCGCTATGAGTAGGTCCGACTCAATGGCAGGGAGTTTGGAGTTTTGGTTTGATACGTATATACATACACACACACATATACACATAAGTTGTTAGGCGCTATTGAGTTAGCTTTGACTCACAGCAACCCTATGTACAACGGAACACAATACTGCCCAGCCCTGCCCGGTCCTGTGCCAGCCCCACGATCCTTGCTATACCTGAGCCCATTGTTGCAGCCACTGTGTCGATCCATCTCATTGAGGGCCTTCCCCTTTGTCACTGACCCTCCACTTTACGAAACATGACATCCTTTTCCAGGGAATGGTCCCTTCTGACAACATGACCAAAGTAGGTGAGATGAAGTCTGGTCATTCTCGCTTCCAAGGAGCATTCCAGCTACACTTCGTCCAGGACAGATTTGTTAGTTCTTTTGGCAACCCATGGTGCTTTCAGTATTCTGAAAGTACTACAACTCAAAACCCTTTTTGGTCTTCCTTACTCATTGTCCATCTTTCACATGCATATGAGGCGACTGAAAACACCATGGCTTGGGTTGGGTGCACCTTAGTCTTCAGAGAGACATCTTTGCTCTCCAGCACTTCAAAGAGGTCTTTTGGAGCTGATTTGCCCAGTGCAGTACGTCATCTGATGTCTTGACTGCTGCTTCTGTTGGCATTGATTGTAGAACTACATATACTCACACACACATATCTACACACATATATGCCTACATACATAGATATAGACCCCCCTCCACATATACATACACACACACACATATGTATGTATATTTGGTTGTTGCTACTGTTATTGTAAAATTATATATGCCATAGTAATAAGCAACATGGGAGCTCTGGTACCATAATGTCTAAGGCACTTGACTGTTAACCAGAAGGCTGGTGGTTCAAACCCACCAGCCGCTCCTTGGAAGGAAGGTTGGGCAATGTACTTCTATAGTGATACCACCTCAGAAACCCAAGGAGGGGTCACTATGAGTCGGGTCCAACTTGATGGCACGTAACAACAACAACAACAACATTCCATTGTGTGTGTGACCCACATTTCACTTACCTGTTTATCTGCTGATGGGCACTTTGCCTGTTCCCATCTCTTTGCTATAGTGCTGCAATGAACACAGGAGTGCATATGCTCCCAGTTTTTTTAAGTTTTTTTGTTTTTTTTAAATAAGCAAAACTAGTCTACCCATTTTAGAATCGTACATTCAGACAATGGAGCAGGCTAGAGGGTGAGGGTACCCCCACGAGGTGGTGCTGAAGCAAGCCCCGAGAGGCTGCTAGGGGCTGGCAGTGCTTCATGACATGGCCCAGGAGCCGGTTACTCAGGTGTCCACTTGATGATAATATGGCAATCTCCACATTTGTCTTGCACACTTTTCCAGAAGTATGTGACGTTTCACGACAGGAAAGGTTTAAGAACTGCCCCCAGGCAGCTGTGACTGTGACAGGTGTGTCCTCAGGTGTAAAGCCCGGGCGAGGGAGCTCTGCCACACAGGCCCTGGCCTTCACCCCTGACTCTGTCCACAGTCTGGCCGAGGCTGAGGCACCCAGTTCCAGGCTCTCTGCCCTCCCGCCTGCCCTGGAAGAGATGAAAGCACACGTCCCTGGAAAGGGCCACTCTGGAGAGTCAGGCTTCCCAAACACACCTGAGCGCACAGGGCCAGGGAGAGATGTGGGCCAGGTGCGTTCCAGTGCATCTCAAACGCACCTGGGCAATCCAAACACCTGCAGGCAGTCCCCAGGGCACAGCCCTCCAGACGGCATGGGTCCAGTCCTGCCTGGAGGTGCTGGGGGCTCGCCTGTGCTGGTGCCGTGGAGACGAAGGGGCCGCTCCCAAGCACCCAGTCAACCAACCAATCCAGTCAATGCACCTGCACCTGTACTAGGCTGGGCTCTTCAGGCTGAGAAGCCCCAGGGCCTGGCACTGCACTTGTTGCAGGGGTGTGCCTGGGAGACGAGCGGGGCAGCAACCCTGAGGGTCCACACCTCGCTAAAAAGTTCAGTGGAAATGTCTGCGAACACTAACTCCTGATGCAAGCGGCTTAGTTGGGTATTTGAAAATGCCGTCTACTCTGACCATCAGGGAGAGACCCAGCTGCATGGAGGGGCCTGCTGCAATCTCTGACTAAGAAGGAGCCAGGCCCGGCCAGTTATTACAAAGCACAGGGGCTCCAGGGCCACCCTGTAGCTCCTGGCCCCTTGGTCACTTGCCAGTTTATCTGCTGGGGCTGCTGGAGAGCTGAGTGGTGGCACTCCAGGAGTGGCACAAAGGTACCTCTCAGTGCCGGGACTCCATGGAGCCCAGAGCTGGGAGGAAGGGTCTTATCCTTCCAGAGTTCTGGGTCTGGTGGTACACGCAGCAGCACACAAACGTTCCAAGCAGGGAGGACGGCAAATCCAGGAGGATTCACAGCAGCCCCTGTGGGAGCAGAGGGTGGCCAGGAGAGCAGGGGTGCTGGGTTTGGCAGATTCCTAGGCCGGCAGCAGTGATACCCACACAAGGGTCAGGAGTCACCGTGATCAAACAGAAGGACCCTGTTTGGCAGCTGGGGAACACTAGAGGAGGACCCGGGGCCTAGCTTCCTGCACATCCTTATAATCTGTGGCTTGCCACATCCTTCTACCTCCTCCCAAGAAGGCAGAAAAGCCCTTCCCACCTCTCCTGTTCCCACTGGTCCTCTGTCCTTCCCGCTGCTTCCTAACTCCAGGGGTCCTTTCTGGTCACCACCACCAGGCTACAGTGGAAGACCTACTGGGGGCCCCTACAGGCTGCCTAGCGGCCCAGCACTCACAGCCATTCACAACACTGCCTAGGCCATGCCTTCTGTGGTCCAGGTATGAGTGATTTCCTCCACTGGGAGTGCCAGCCCCTACCTCCCCCGCCAGCCTGTTCCCCCTGCAGCCAGCCAGCCTGAGTGCAGCAGACCTGGTGCCTCCACGGTGCTCCAATGCCCCACGAGGCAGCCCTGCAGCTGGCACGTGGACTGGGCCACGGACCACCAGCATGCTCAGCTGCCACCCTGGCAACCAGTTTTTGCCTCCAAGAAAAAAGGCCATCTTGCAGAGGGGCTGCCATAAGGCCCTGAGGAGGCCTCAGACTCAGCTACAGGACCATGGCAGGTTCTCAAGGCCACAGGCTGGCCCAGGCAGTGCGAACACAGCTACCCTTCGACTGCTCACTGAGCCTCCTCCCAGCGAGTGTTTTGATATCTGACTCAAAGGCACAACTAGCTACTCGAGGGCTGGTGACCAGCACCCGCCCTGCTCCAGAACACACTGCCTTAGACCAGCATCAAGCCCGGCACATGGGCTGCCCTGCAGGAGGGGCCAAAGCTGGCATCCAGCACCCACAGACTCACCCTTGGGCCTGCTCCTGTCACCAATACCCCAACGGGGACCAGCCACTGCTGTAGTCCCTTCTCGCCAGCGAGGAAGCCTGGACACAGCAAATGCCCATGTGATTTTTAAAGGACAGAAAACAAACACATGGATGGGCCCAGGTGCCCTGGAGGAAGGCATCTAGGCGCGAGGTGGTGGGACAGGCAGACTGCAGAACTTTTGGGAAGGGTCACGGGGTGGGCTCAATCACAGCAGGCCATGGAAGCAAAACCATGTGTGAGGTCGCCACAGGCCGAGGGGACACTGAGTTTCTTGAGGCAGGTCTTCTGTGCACACTGGCATAGGGGCCACCACCTTCACAAGCCATTCACCCCACAGCTCAGCAGCCACCTGACAGCCATGTGTATTGTGCAGATTGTGGATGCTTCCCACAGGGGCAGACAGCTGAGATCCTGTTATAATCTGGGGGAGGAAGACACAGCCAGAGGCGCAACTCCAACACCACCAGCTCTTGGGAGCTGTGATCCTGTCCCATTCATCACCCTGGAGTTTGAGGGTCACAGGGGAAGTGAGAAAGGTGGGCAAATAGGGAGCTCTGTGGGACCACAGGCCTCTGGTGGGCAGCAGGCAGTCCCCACGATGTGTCCCTAGCCTTCTGGTCTCCAAACCTATGCTTAGCGCCATTCTCCTCCCCGCAGCAATGGTGCCATCACCCTGCCTAGGCGCCCAACCAGAAATCCAGGTGCCTGCTGCAAAGCCCCATCCCTCCCCAACCTCTCGCCCACTGGAGCCCCATCCCTGTGGCACATCCGACCTGCGTGAAGATGTGGAAGGGGTAAGACAACATGGGTGCACCTGGGGGAGGAGAGATGAGGCTGACATCAGTGTAGTAACCTGGCCAAGATCAGTGAGAAGAGGTAATGGTAATGGCGGAGGCTGGGCAGAGGTTGTGGCCCATCCTGCTTAACCAGCAAGGGCGTGCAGAGGAGTGGGCAGGTGGGCCGGGCCAGGCCGAGCTGAGTCAGGCCAGAGCCTTCCCAGCCTCCACAATAACCTGTCCAGGACAAAGTGTACGAAAAGGCCAGGCCTGGAACCCAGGAAGACCTCTGGAGAGGGGCTATGGAGAGACACCTGGGTGTTGTGCTCCCTGCCATGCTGAGAACAAGCTGGCGGTCCCTCCAGGATCCCCATTCCGGTCACATCTGTCCCCACTGGGGATGCCAGCCCATGCCGGCAGCTGCAGACACCCTCTGAGGCTGCGGGGCCTCCACCCAAGATTCCGGCACCCACTGGAGGCCACAAACTGGCTCCTTCAGGACCCTATATGAAGCCACATGGGCGGCTCCCATGCTGCCGCTGAGACCCACCTGAGAAGCTGGTGCCCATGGGGCAGCGTCTGCAGCCAGGTCACACACTGGCCCTCGTGGCCATCCAGGGTGGCAAGCGCCCTCCGTGTCTGCAGGCTCCAGACGTGCACGAGGCCGCTCAGAGACCTATCTCAGACACAAACAGGGACGGGGTCGGTTGAGCACTAGAGGTGGGCAACCCCCTTGTGTAAGCTCAGAGGAGCTGTCTGGGCAATATAGGTGAGTCTCAGGCTGGTAGTTTTAGTTTAAAGAGCTGATAGTTCTAGATATGAACTTAGGGTGAAACTGGCAAAGCACCCTTATTCCCAGAGGGAAGCTGGAAGGATCCTGTGGGGTTTAGACCCCAGCTTGTAAGGAAATGGGCCTTTGGGGTAGCCCAGGAAAAAGTGGAGCCAAGTGCTTCTTAAAGGGGGAGAGATAGCTGAGCTATTCAAAAATATAAACTGAATGGGCTCAGGCCCAGCCAGGAAGGAGGTGAGCAAGCCTGGCCTGAAAGCCAGCCCCAAAGGCCACAGCCACTGCGCGAGGTTGCACCTGCAGCATCTATAACAAAGGGAAACCACGTTCCCCAGCCCACCTTGGGGCGAAGTCCATAGGAGACCAAGGAGAAGCGGAGTTTGGGGCGGCTGGAGCCTCTCTGCCGTGTCTGAGGGTGCTGTCCCCATGAGAGCCACGCTTGCCGCGAGGCCTGCAGTCACATAACATCCATTGGGTCAGCCCCCCACGGCTGGACAGCAGCTACTTACCCTGAGAGAAGGAGTTGGCAGCCCTGACCCTGGGCTTCTCTGCAGAAATGCAGTGCGTGGACGGCCGACTGGGTGCCTCGGAGCACAAACTGGGGGTCTGGTTGTGGTCGGGGCAGGGTGGGGGCTGCCATGCTGCTTGAGGGTGCAGTTGTCTGGGGACAGAGAGAGGGCATGTGAGCAGACCCCTCCTGTCTGTCCTCCAGGAAGGCCACCTTAGCCCCAGGGTGGTCCTCGGCCCCTCTTGGGTTAAGAGAAGACCTCCTTTGCTCCCCCAAAAGTAGAGGGGATTGGATCCCTGCATGGGCAGTGGGCCCTGGCTCAAAGCCCATCCTTTCTTTATGTCCCCCCTTCAGTGACTGCTCCTGCCGAGGTCTGAGGGAGCTCCCTGGGTACCACCCTCCCTCACTACACCTCCACTCGGCCTCCCATTGGCCTGTGCCCTATCAGCAGGACCCAGGCCATACCTTCCCCATCCCTGGTCAAGCACAGCAGCCCCTCTCACCCATTGTCCTACATAGAGCCCTCCACTGGCCTCTGTGGCTTTCGAGGCATCTGTCAGCTGGGCCCCTGCTCTGTGGTCCCCACCAGCCACACCAGTGCCTTCCCACTCTGACTCGAGACCTGGCTGAGTCCTACCCTCTGTCAGGCCTCACCCCAGCTTCTCTCCCTCGGGGTAGCCCTCCCCAAGCAGACCTCCCAGCAAGCTCCACGCCCCGTCTGAGCACCCACGCGTCTTCTTCCCTGCAGTGAAGTAACGACGCACCATGACAAGTTGCCACGAGGGTGGGAGCAGGCGTCACAGTAGTCTGCCCCTTCCTCTCAGACCCCTGCTCAGCAAATGCTGAGCAAACAAACAGACGCAGGAGAGACACACAGGGTCCCATGGTAGCCAAAGAACAAGCAAGACCCTAGCTGCACTTGCAGTAATCGTCAGTCACAGCCCCATGGCCCCCAGGCCTAGACTTGTATAATTTCTGATTTCCACACCACCCTGCAGGGAGGTAGCAGCCTCTTTCCACTTGGGGACTCTGAGGCATGGAAGGGTCCAGTGAGCCGGCTCCAGACCCCTCAATGGGTGGCGGCTCAGGTCTGAAGTGCTCCAGGGCCTGCACGTGGCCTCCAAGAGGCAGAGCGGCTGGTATAGCAATGTGTGGACAAGGGGTCCAGCCACTCAGGACAGACAGACAGGCATTACCTCAGGAGTCCTGGCGAGTGGGGAGGCAGCCCCTGAAGGTCAGAGGCCACCCTATGTGATTACCCCAACCTCCTGCCCTACAGCCACCTTGAGCACTACTCCTACCCTTGCCAAGAGATCTTCTAGCAAAATCTCTAGAAAAAGGAGAAAGCAACAGGCCTGGCTGTGACTCCTGGCTGGGATCAGCTGCCTGACACAAGGAGGTTCCCCCCAGTGGGCTCCCACTGGGCAGGCCCCTGTTGGATCACCCGTAGGGATGACCACACAGGACCCCCACCTGGAACCCACCCTTCAGAACAGAGGCCCCTCCGAGGCGGCCGTGAAAAGGGGCCCGTGTCTTCTTGGCGACACGGTGGTGGAGTCTGAAATCACTGCCAGGCCCCACCATGGCACTGCTCTGCCTCTTTCCTGGTCCCTCAGCCTCCGTCTGTGCTGTGAGCGTGCACCACCAGGTAAGGGACTTGGCCCACAAGCACCACTCTGGGGGTCTCAGCTACCAGATACCGCCCCACAACGAGGCCGGCTGGCCCACCCAGAGACAGTGCAGCAGGTAGAGGGAAAGGTGGAAAGGAGCCACACCCTCCACACCCTCCACACGCGGTGAGGGCCTGGTGAGGCTTCAGGCCGGGAGGACACAAGCCCACTGGCGGGACTTAGGGACCAGAGGTTAACAAGTGTGTTCCTTCCCCACAGCAACCAGGGGGCACAGGCAGTTGGGTTTTGTGATCTGGACGTTGGTCCCTTTGCTGGAGATGCTACTTCAGGCATTTTCTTCTGGCTGCTGCCCTCCGCCTCCCACCCCCCCTGATGCCCTGAGGCCAGCTGGCTGTAGCACAGAGCAGCCCTTGTTATAGAAAGGGCCGTGGCCAGGCTGACTGGTGACTGCATCCAAGGCCCAAAGGAAATCTTCCCGGGGTCACCTAGGACCAGCAGGAAAGGCTTCAGCAGCACCCTTAATTGATAGCTGAATTATGGCCCTGAGAATGGGAATAGAGACCAAGCAGCAAGAGCCCGCCCTGAGGTCGCAAAGGTGTCCAGACAGCCCAGCCACCGGCTTGCAGACCCCAGCCCAGCCCTGTCAGGCCCAACCTGGGACATGGCATCTACACAGGGCCAGGGCAGGAGGAGTGCCACCAAAGACCCAGGCCATGACAAGAGGACCCCACACCACTGTCTGTGGGTCTCAGACAGGCCGGCTTTCAGCCTCCACCCCACTGAGCACGAGAGCTCGGCCACCATTAGCACTTCTGATACACTCTGTGGGGGCAGCATGCAGCCTCATCTTTTCTTTTTCTTGCTTTCTTTGGGGGAAGACAGGGTTCAGCCCAGCAGCCTCTCAAACGGCAAAAAGCCATCTGATGCCGCCCCAGCATGAGGGCCGCCTCCTGTGGGGGGCGAGGACCAAAGGTCTCTGCTCTTGTGTGTGACAGGTAAGCTGCCTGGAGCCATAGCTGAGCCAGGCCACCGTAAGGGCAGCTACGGGCACAGGGCCACAGGGCCACGGGGCCACGCTCTTGGAGAAATCCCTGAATGCTGACCCAGCCACAGCCCAGCAACCCCACAGCAAATCATTCCCGGGGGAGAAGCCTAACGGACCACCTCCACACAAACTCCCATGTGCAATCCAGATCACGGACACATCACGCTCATGCACACACTCACACGCACAATCACACACATGGCCCAAAGGAAACACGTACATATACACATGTGCACACACTCACCCACTCACACAATGCATGCACATATTCACACCCAAATGCATGCACAACCATTCACATGCACACACACATGCACACATTCACACATGTGTGCAGACAACACAATGCACGTACATATTCACACCCACATGCATGCACAACCATCCACATGCACACACACATGCACACATTCACACGTGTGTGCACTCAGACACACACAGTGCATGCACATATTCCCACCCACATGCATGCACGACCATTCACATGCACACACATGCACACATTCACACGTGTGTTCATTCACACACACAATGCACACACATATTCCCACCCACATGCATGCACGACCATTCACATGCACACACATGCACACATTCGCACATGTGTGCACTCAGACACACACACAATGCACGCACATATTCACACCCAGGTGCATGCACAACCATGCACACACACACACATGCACAAGCATGACACACACACTGGCACACATGCACAGGCAGCACAGTGGCTGCAGGCCAGCGCCAGGGAAGCCTGGTCCACACTTGCCACCTGCCTGCGGCCTGGCGGGAGTTCCCAGAACTTCACCAGCACAGGCTCATTCTGAGGTGACGCAACCACGTTCTTCTCCATTGTTTCCCCAGAACTGCAGGGAACAAACCCGTCACGTTGTTCCAACAACCAAGATGCTCAGGCCAAAATGATGCATCGGCAATTAAGGGCTCCATCATTTCAAGCAATTAAAATAAACGCTTTATTTGAAAACTAATTAATTCTAGCTACATATTTTTCCCATGACAATATCCTATGATTACTTGATTTATGACATCTAATTATTCTTTATTAATCTAATTGAGAATAATCGCATTATCCTATCTCCTCTGGCCCCAGGCCTGCCCTGAGTGGCGAGGCTGCGGCCCTCTTATGCAAGAGCCAGTCTGCGATATCGGTTACACCACCGGCCACCTTATTTCACTGTTCTATCACTTGTCTTTTCCTCCCAGAGGGCAAAGACGCATGAAACTTAATCCACGGAGCACAACTTCACATTCTGCCAGCTCTCCAAAATGTCAAAGTGAGACCCAGTCTTCTAAAAATTAAAAAGAAAAGCAATCTGACACAACTGGTGCAAATGTGACAGCTGTTCTAATGAAAGCACCGAGTCCCTGGAAGGCCCCTGGCCTCAGGCCACACAGGGAGGACGACAGTACCCCTCTGTGATGTACCACGGGCTCACAGTTATCCCCACGGAGTGGGTTATCCCCCCCTGGGCTGGATGGCTAGAGCCAAGCTGTACTCCTGATGTTCACCCTCCCACCAAGCCACACACACACCCTGGGCCAGCACAGTCACCCCAGGGGCCCAAGGAGGCCCCTCACAGCAAGGCGGGAACATGCATGCAAATGGCCAGCCTGTTGGCAGAGACCTGCCCACTGCCCACCGGGACTGCATCAGCACTGAACCGTCATGAGACGCGAGAGGCATCAGACAGGGCTGTGGGAGGGGCTGCCCCTTCTTGGGCTGCTAGGAGTTTGCACCTTAGACCGCTCCCCATAGAGTAGCGCACAACCAGCTTGTGGTCCAAGTGGCCACTGCATAGACCACAGGTACAGCCCTGGGTACCTGCCTGCCCTTGGGGTCCCACTGCCTGCACTCAACTACTGAGATCTTTCCCTGTCCTGTGACAGAACTGCATGTCTACTGAAGAGACTTGAAACTTGGCAAAGAACACCAAGAGTGAGCCAAGGCAGTAGGGTCACTACCCAGAGACGCCCTGGGCACTAAAGTACAAGGACATGGAAGAGGGTTGCCCAGTAGCCAGTTCATCTGCCCCAGCACAGACAGGGCACGACCACTCTTTGTCTAAGCCCGTGACAGCTCAAGGACTTGCCTCACAGGCCTCTAGGAACACCTCAAACAGCCTCTCCCCCATCCCAACATGTGTGTCAGACAAGGGCACAGAACCATCCCCCACACCCACAAGGTGCCTGGGCATTCTACAACCACATAGACCAGAAAGGCATCACTTTGCAGCTGGATGGATACCCTGATAGGACCTCCCACCAAAAACAGCAATGCCGATAAAAATGCCGATAAAAATGTAAAACAGACTTCTGGTAAGATGGAGGAATAGGCAGACAAGTGACACAGACCCTCTTCAACAAAGAAAAGAAAAACCAATTGTCAGAGAAACAGAAGATAATCCCGGAGCCCTGAGCTTTGAAAGGAACTACAC